TCTGAAATTGAGTCTTGTGATACAATTTTACTTTTGGGGATCCTGATTTTCTTTTAACAAACCTGAAAAGGCTTTTTATTCCCTTTTTTTAAAACAGAAATCATAAAATACTTACCCTACATAAATACCTGCAAATCTTGACTGCTGAAAAAGTCAAATTAAATACATGGAAATGGCTTTTCAGCTGTGAGAGTTTTTTGACTTTTTCTACAGTTGCTATGATACCTCCTAGGATGGCCCATACTTTTAATCAGGTGAAGCTCCTGGGGAGGTTGTGGGAGCTTTGGGAGGCCATGGGGTGAGGCTGCATGTTTTGAGAGTGACTAGGCAGGCTTCTCCTTGGTACAGCCTTTCCAGATGTGGAAGTGTTGCACAGACGGCAATGTTTTCTTTCCCGGGGGTCTTGTAGCATGTTGCTAGAAGCTGGAAGCAGCATGCTACAAGAAGTAAGAGCTCTGTCAGGGATTTCTCAGCCTCTGTCAGGCACTGGAGAAGCAGAGTAGCCGACATATCCCATCTGGTAAGAGAAACTCATATATTACAGAAATTGACACTTTTTTGTTTCCTTCCCAGCTGTCTTCCCTTGTCCTCCAGTCAAACCAGTGCTCACCACTTGGGTTGTGCCAGGGATGCAGCAGTGTTGCTTCTGTCCCCTTTCACTCAATTTGATTGTCTTTAGGAAAACGCTGCTGTTGTGATGAGGTAACATTACACAGAGCCGAGTATCTGCTTCTTTGTTCTCCTGTGGCCCAGCAGAATTGCTGGAGCTGTGGGTGCCTGAAGGCTTCACCTCCAAGCACTGAAAAAAAACAAATTGCTCGGAAACAATGGTACTGAAGTATCTTCTTACATGCTGGGGTGCTGCCTGTTCCTCACTTCCACTGCACTGCTGTGTGCCAAGGGCATCCAAGCAAAGAAAAGATGTGGGAGCAGCTTCATCTGCGAGTGGAAATGGGCTTCCCTGCAGTGAACTTGTTCCTTATGCTTCATGTCATGGAATCATGAGAATTGTATTTTTGGACAAAGAATTTCTAAGCAGTCTTATGAGGGATTTTTTTTTTTTTTAAGGAGAAAAAAGGTGCAAGATTAAGTGCATATTTACTTGTCCCAGATCAAAGGTTTTGAACACTAAGGTCACTCTGTCTTGACTGGACCCTCCTCTGTCTTTGGTCAGTAGAACTTCCTGCCCTTTTTCTCTTTACCGTGTTACTGTAACTCTTTATTTCACCTAGAGAAATACCTGTACAAAAATTATAAGCAATTAAATGTTCAAGCCATAAAATCATGAATGTGGGAAGACCTGCTTCACAAGTTTTAACATTTGTATGTAAAATGATGTTTGTATTAAATATTTTCATGGTAGAAAGAATATTTAAACAAAGAAGTTCCAGTAAGATCTAAATCAGATTTAAAGGGATGTCTTTTTGTAAGATGCAAGTGTAATTGAATACCAGTAAGTAGATAATGTTGGGGTTTTTTTAGGGGAGATGCAACAAATGATCCTTACAATTACAAATGGTTGTTCCTGCTATTTGGGGAAGTATTAATGCAGCATTACATGCAGCCGCCATAAATAATTGCAGTAGCAAGGCTAGTCACATTTTCAAGACGTACCTCTCAGCTTCTCTCTTCATGATATCTTACAAACTACCCATCCCTCCTTCCTATAGATTCCCTTCTAGAAAACTTTTCCTACTGCAGCTGTAACAAGTTTAACTCTGAGCTAAGAACCAGACTAAAATAGTGTATTAACAGTTTCTGCTGGGCCTTCTGCTATTTTAATACTCTTCAGCCCATAATTACTGGGTGTCTCTGTTCTGAAGAACTAAGTGCTAAAGAATAATCTTTGGGGTAAGCTTATACATGTGTTAACAGTTAACCCCGGAGTATTCAACTTGTGTACAGTACTTGATAGGTGTTTTATGACATTTGTACTCGAACTATGAGCCTTACTGAACATCTGTAAGTTTATTAATGACTTTTAAAAAACGGAAAACTCTAAGAAAGATGTTTACATGAATGATGTTTGCCCTTCCTTTCATGTTATGAATGGGGTTTTTATAGTGTGTTTGGGCGTATGTGCAAGGAAGCAAGAGAAGTGTTTCTGGGGAAAAACAGACTTGACAAACATTTGTAATAAGTGAATTTTAAAGATTGCTTTAATTGCGCTATGAAGGCAATGCAAAAATAAAATATTCAACAGAAAACCATTGTCTCTCCTTGTTATTTGTGAGTCACAGTTTGGGGCATCCTCTGACCTCTCCCTTTTCCTTGCGTCCTTTGTGACCACAGTTTTGCTGATGCACAGGAGCAGGATTTCATACGGTTAACACACATCTAGGCCACGTTATGTAAATAGTGAATGAACACCTGACACCACTTGTTGGTTTTTTCTGTCATCTCTGCTGCTTTTCTTACTCCTCTTTTTCAATGCACATAACATGGGCTTCAGTTGTATTGTGGTATGGAAGAACATCCCTCCCAAAGTGTCATTAACTGTTATTTTTAAGCGTGGTGGATTTTCCTCTGATGCAGTGGGAAGGTGCAGCAGGGTGCCTTCCAGCCAGGTAACCTATTCCTCTGTCTCCTAATTCCATTTACACATCCTGCTGGGTGAGTGGTGAGGAAAAGGCTGTGCTTTCAGTGCCTGCCTTGCCTTCTCCTCCTCTGTGATCACAATTGGCTGAGGTAACTCTCCTGCCTGTGCTGGGTGTAGGTGTGCAAAGACTGTGCCCTCCCTTCTTTGCAAGAATGCAGAAATGACATTGCCACTTGAACCCTCCCAGTCATAACAGGCTGGGAGGACGATGGGTGCTTGGTGCACATTTGCAAGCTGTGTGGAAGGTGACAGTGGGATTGTGGATGATGCCATGTGCTGGCTTCACCCAGCCTGGCTGTGTTCAGTCATGCCTTTGTGTAATAACCCAGTACACTGTGGAGGTACATTGGGTTTATATAAAGAAATTATACCTAACCTGTGAGCTGATTTCTTAAAAATGTTTCAGGGATAGGCAGGTTTTAGTGGTGTGCTTTTTAGGATTTGGCTGGAGGTGCTTGGGGGGATATTAGAATCATAGAATTGTTGAATCATCAAGGTTGGAAGAGACATTCAAGGTCAACCAGTGTGACCATCCACCTCCCACTAGCCCTGTAACCCCTAAACCACATCACCCAGATGCCTCTTGAACACCTCCAGGGATCATGACTCCACTGCCAGCCTGAAAACCTATTCCAACACCTTACTGCCCTAACAGTGAAATTTTTTTCTAATACCTAATCTGAATTTTCCCTGTCTCAGTTTATTTCCTCTGGTCCTCTCACTGCAGACACAACAGGAGAGATTGATGCCCACCTTGTTAGGGCCTCCCTTGAGGGAGTTGTAGAGAGTGATGAGCTTCTCCCTGAGCCTCCTCTTGAGACTGAACAACCCCAGCTCCCTTGAATATAAGATAGGTTTTCAACACCTTTCATGAGCCTTGTTGCCCTTCTCTGGACACAATCCAGCACTTCAAAATCCTTTTTAAAGCGGGTGGCACACAACTGACACAGCACTTGAGGTCTGGCCTCACCAGTGCCAAGTAAGGGGGATGAGCACTTCCCTAGTCCTGCTGTCTGCTCTATCCCAGATACACGCCAGGATGCCCTTGGCCTTCTTAGCTACCTGGGCCCACAGTGGCTCATGCTGTATCAGTGGCACTCCCAAGCTCTTCTGTCGAACTGCACAGGTTCTTTGGCTCTTTCCAACAGAGACTGGTTGCCAATGTGCCAGGAGGACCTTCACCTGTCAATCTAAAGAACCGATCACACAAGTCATGAACAATATGTACAGAGTTTCACGGAATCTTACAATCACAACATGGCTTAGATTGGGAGAGATCTTAGAGATCATCTAGTTTCAGTCCCCGACCACGGGCAGGAACGCCCTCCAATAGACCAGGTTACCCAAAACCCCATCCAACCTGGCCTTGAACACTTTCAGGGATGTTGCATCCAACAAGACCTCTGAGCAACCTGTGCCACTTTCCCCAACCCACAGTATTGCAAATGCATATCCATGTGAAGCAGCGCTTACAGCGGCAGGGGAGGTGAAACAAGGATTAAAAAGGCTCAATTGCTGTGGAATAGGGATGGCTGGAACGCCCAGCGCCGGCAGCCCGAGGGTGTCCGGGGCGGGGCGGCCGCTCCCGGCTGCAGGCGAGGCGGGAGGGGGCGGGCGGAGGAGCCGTGTCTGCTCGCGGGGCACGGCTCGGCACGGCGCGGCGAAGGATCTCCGGGGCTCGCCGGCTTCTTGTGGCACAGTCTCGGAGCTCCTTCCCGGCCGCGGAGCAGCTCTCCCGACGCCGGCCCGAGGGCGCCGGCCGGGCCGGAGCCGCCGCAGGTGAGGGCGCAGCGGGCGCGGCGCTCCCCGGCGGGAGCGGAACGGAACCGGGGGACACGGAGGGCACGGGAGACACCTGGAGCTGGAGCCGCTCCTGGAGAGGGCGTGCGATGCCCGGCAGCAACCACGGGGAGTGTCGGGGCTCGGTGCTGGCTGCCTCAAGGGAGCAGCGGCTCCTTCCTGGAGCTTAACTTCCACACCGGAGGGATCCTGGGCACCCCCTGCGCCTCTGCGGGCAGCTGAAGCGCTGAAGGGGGAAGGTCAGCGGTGGTGTCTGAGCTGACGATCGCGCATTCTGCTCCAGAAACGTCGGGGTTTGTGTCCCAGTCACCTGGCACGCAGCGGCCCCGGGGATTTCCCAAAATGATCCGGGGCGCTGAGGAGCGAGCTCGGTGCTCCTGGCCCCGGTCCTGCGCGCCAGCCGGTGCGGGGAGCCGATGATCCTGTCCCTTCTCTCTCTCCTGCCTAGGAAGAGCCATTCTCCGACCCTGCGAGGCCTGTGTCCGTGTTCGGGGCTTCATGTGGGAATCACAGCAGAATGGATCGGTATCGATATTTCATCTTTAACCAGAGGAACATGGTCGTGCTGGGGATGCTCCAGATTGCCTTCAGCACCGTCTGTGTCACCAGTGGGTTCATAGATGGCATTTTCAGAACAGAGTCTCAGCTGGGCACAACCAGAGCTCCCATTTGGGCTGGCATGGTAAACTTCTACTATATTTTTTATGTTTTCTTTTGCAGTGTTTTTGGTGGTGGGGTTTTTTTTTTGTTGTTTTGTTTTGTTTTTTGTTTTTATTCCCACTGCTCATATTGGGGGTGGGAGGGAAGCCAAGATTTCTTGTCAGATCTTCCCTTGTTTCATGCTTTGAACTCAGTTTATAAAAGCTTATAATGATACAGGCAGAAGAGTGAAAGCAGACTTTCCTCTGAAGGAACTAAAGTAAATAGAATTCTGCCACTGTCGAGGCAGGACGGGAATGAGGGGACTCTGACTCAGAAGGCTGCTGAGAGTAAAACTCCATTTATTCAAAATGCACTGCTCTTTTATACAGAGCTTTGTGAGGGCCAACTCCATTGGTTCTGAAGTGAAAACAACCCACAGCATTGGTGCAGAGTGCTTGATGCACAGTGATAGAACTTAACTATAATCAATATGAAAAACAAGAGAGATAAAGAATTATTTACAGTCTTCTCCAGCTCTTTCCCAGGCTTCTGCCTGGCTAGAAACTCTCAGTTTCTCTCTTTGACTGAATCTGAGACCCACAGAATTCTGCTGGATAATGTAGAAAATGGGACATAGTGACAATTGATAGGTTGGGGGTTTTTTTGCAGAAGAATAGTGACCACAGAGAGGCCACCAAAGATTAGGAGGGGAACACCTCATCCTGTGTTCAGGTAGATTAACATCTGGGTGCTGATCTCTGTCCCACAGCACAGTGCCCCTAATTTTGGTACGGCAGTGAGGAGTGGGCAAGAGGTATCCCTGCTCCCTGGCATTCAGCACCTTGGTTTACCCTGCTGAGCCATGCTGCAAGGAAATTACACTGAAGATCTCTCTCCAGTGCAGAGGCTGCCTATCTCCTTTCATTAGTATCTTTCTTTCCTTTACAAGATGCATATGGACTTGGCAAAGCAACATGCATTTTTAGCACATTAAATCAGACTTATTCAATCAGTTTCATTATTTTGCCCGACATAAAGCTCTGGTCAGCTGTAGCAAGGTTGTGTGGGTAGCAAGTGGGCAAGATGCATGTCACCCATGTTCTGCATCCAGGAGATGTTACAGAGGAAAACAAAAGAAATGAGCAGTTCTCTTCCCATTTCTGATGCAGCAGTTACTCTGATCCAAGCCTTGAAAACACTTTTCATTACTCTGTGGTGGTTTGTCTTCTGAATCTGATACTAGTCTCCCAAGCTACCATCTCCTGTTGTGCTTTGCAGGTGATGGGAGTCCCAGGCGTGCTGGCTTTGTTCTCCTCGCAGAGGAAGAATCCAGTTCTTGTAAGCTAGAGGGGCAGATGGGTGTTTGTGTGTATGGGGCAGGGGCAAAATGTCGGGGCAATCAAAACCAGTTTGAGTAAGGAATGAGCTGACTGGTCCTCTTGCAGAATTAAGAGCTTATTTCTTTGAGTTATCTTCACAAAAGCTGCTGTCTTTATAACCAAGAGGAGGAAGCAGTGTTACCTTGCTTTCTGCTGCAGTAGACAGGGCCTAATAAAAAGCAAAACTCTGTAAAAACACTTCATCTCAATGCTTTTCTTTTGGTGGTCCTTCATGTTGTTAAGTGCTGTGTACACTAAAATATGAAATTAGTTAAGAGGTTTGCATTTCCTGGGTAGGTTTCTCTGGATGTGTAAACTCCAGGGGAGGATGTTGTATGCAAATTAGAGGTCTTTAAGTAGCACCTCTAATTAATATTCAGGACTCAGCTGTAACTCAGAAACTCAATGTTATGAAAACCTCTGCTTTGGCTTCTAAGTGACTGTCGGTGCTGGGGCTGCTGCAGTGTTATGGTAGGTCAAAGGCTGCCTGCAATCTTCGTATTTGCCCAAGGACAGCTTTGATTCCTGGTCCCCTTCTTTTTCTCACTAAAATTCTCTGGCTGTCTAGGTGAATGTGCTGATAGTTGCTTCCATAATCTCTTGTGTTGCCATCTTCATTGTAATCATTTATAGCTCCTTCACACTGAACTATGGTGAAGAGGAGGAGCTGAATTCTGCCCCAGTCCATGTTATCCATACTGTAAGTATTGATATCATGATTATTACTGGGGAACATGCCACCATTAATCTGCAAGCAGTGCCAGATGTGGCTTACAAACAGAACCAGACTTCTAGGAGGGGTGACACTAGGTCAGGTTGGCTGTTTTTGCTTCTTAGTGCAAAGAGGTGGTGTGGGATGAGCCATGAAAAAATACTGGTGCTGCTCAGAGAAAGGTGCTGAGAGTATTTGGTCTGGTTTGAGAAAGTGGTTGCAAGGCTCGGATCCTTCCAACAAGCACCTCAGGTGATGAAGTTACAGCAGCTACCAGGTCAGCTGGTTAAACCTGCTGTTAGTTCAAGTGTATCCTGCACAGTAAAGCTGTAGAGAAGGAATGAAGCCCTTTTGTATCTCCAGTCTACAAGTAATTGTTTGCTGTGGGAGTAAAGGCATTTCAGAGAGATGAAGCTGATCATTAGTTTATTGCAGGACAAATCAAAATGTCAGGCTGCTATAAGGTGCAGTGCAGCAAAACAATGTTTCTCATATTCAGTGTAAAGAAGAGCAGCCATTCCTTGAGTTTTTACTCTTTGTCAAAGCTATTTCCAAACCCAATGCCATTGCATAGCATCTCACATTTAATCAGCAGCCTTATTTCACTGCTTGCTCTGTTTGAGGTTCATACTTGGTTTGTTTTCCAGAACACGGAAAAACCTTAAATAACACCAACTACAGATCAATCTCCTATCATGCAATCACAGCATTCTTGCAGTTATTAGATTATTTTTTGGTGGAGAGTGTCACTTTTTGAATATGCCTTTACTATCTCTTGTTCTTGCAGAGGTTTATACTCAGTAAAGTTGTCAAGGGTGCTAACATAGCCATGCTGGCTGTGTCCATCTGCAGTGCCTTTTCTGTGTTGGCCATGGCTTACTTGGGATGCCGGAGCCTTCCATGCTGCTCCTGCTATGACAGTGTAACTGGGATGGTGAGTGAGGAGCCCAGGGCACAAGAAGTTTATTTCTTCTGATTATTGCTGGGAGGGGAAGAAACCAGGGAGAAGGTGTGTTTTTCTCCTATAAATTTAGTCTTAGCCTCTACCTCAGTCATGCAGGGCTAATTCTAAGAAACTAAGTGGAATATTAGAAGGGTTTTATATTTCTTATATTTTTTCCTTTAAAGGAAAAAATCTCCCTCTTATTTACAGTCTCATGTAAGATCTAATATAAGTTATTTCTATTTTCCAAACCATTTGTGCTGAAGTTACTGTGGCCACATTTCCCACAAATTCCTGCTATCCTCAAAAACTCTTCCACTCATCTTTAAGCCACCAGTTGCTTCTGATGCGGTGTTACAAAGACCTACTGGTACTTACACGCTGGAACTTCAATAATAAAAGTATCTCCAGTGCTGTGTGTGAAGCGTTGGGGTGCTGACATATGTAATTTACTCCTCATTCATAAGGACTCTGCCTCGAATGATGGGGCCCAAGGCATGTCTGCTAAGTGAGCTCAGTAAATAAATAAATACCAACTGCTTTTTTACTAGAGCAATTAGGATGCTGTGTTATTAAACATGTACATCCAACCATTTGGTTTGGTAAGGAATTAAAGGGTGCAGGCCACTGGGCAGCTGTTCTGACTAAATACAGAGTGAGTAACATAAAGCTGCTTTAAATTTCCAAACTAAAACGTGTTAGGAGACATGGACTGCACAGACTTTTCAAATAAGTTCAGGTGTATCTTCTTGAACAAATTTCCAGTTGAGGTACTTGTGGTGCTGTTTTTTTTCACAGGAATGGTTGCAGCCTAGTGAGGACCAAAATCAGGCTGTGGAAATGACTTGTGCAGTACAAAGTGAGTAACTTTTCTGCCTCCATGTAACTGGATGATCACCAGGGATGAGGAAGAGACGTTCTGAATAAGGTTTAAAATCCTGATAACCAAAAGGAACTCAGGATTTTGTGCAAACGTTTGTCTATACCATGTTTAATGGTTTTTGCCTTCTTTTCTCACACAGGCTATGGGAGGAGAATTTTTGACTTCACAGATCAGTTTCCCACCCAGGATGTAGATGCAGAAGAAGACACATCCAAACCTCCATCATATATCAGAATGACTTGAAAAAGTGGCCGAACATTTTGTTCAAATGTGGCAAGAGATATGGAATAAGTTCTTTAAAGATGGTTATGCACTTTTCCTTGGCCCTTTGAAAAACACACACAGAGCAAACTAGTGAATACCCAGCACTGGGCAGAGATCACAGTGCAGAGGGAAAGATCTGCAGGTGATTTTGAACTTTCAGACTCTGTATAGTGAAAATACCTCATTACTTCTGGAAAGTGAGAGCATTTTTTCCTCTGGCCTAAATCATATCATTTCTCTAGAATTCATCATGCAATTTGTGCAGCAGTGCTAGCCTTAGGCATTTCAATATTAAATACAATTCCTTTTTCTTCAACTGCTATCTCAATTTTTCCCTCTTACTGCATGAATTATTGGGATGATAATGAAGGATGCCCTTCATCCTTGAGCTTCAGAGTGTTTTCCTTTTCTTCTTGATAGGAGTGGGGGCAGGTAAAGTTTTTTATATGAAACCTTAATAGCTCCATTCAAACCAACCTCTGTCAAAAGGTGGCTTCTGTGGGGTGTACATGTGTTAGTACAATTAGTTTTAGTGCTGAAGTGTAACTATAGAGTGTGGCAGGAACTGGAGTTGCAGTAGCTCCTCTTATGAAGTAACTTGAATACTCTAAATTCAGTTCAAATTTTTCTATTTTGACTTTGTAGATTGAAAATTTAAAATAAATCCTTATTTTAGGGCCTGTTTTGCTAAAATTTATTACAGATCTAGACAAAGGTGCTTTGTTGTATTTTCTCTAGGGGATATTTTGGTCCTCTAGACCAAGGAACTACAGCTTCCAGTCAGGTTGTGTCATCTCCTGAAGTACATAGAATTCCCATATGTACTTCATGTTTCACTTTTAGGTGAACATCAAGTGTTTATCTTGCCTGCAGGCCTTGAGCAGGGAGTGGTAGATAACCCATGATACAGATTAACACAGCATTTGAACAGGGCCTGGAAAATCAGTTCCCATCTTGAGCAAGTGGGTAGTAGGGTAAGTCATACACACCATGAGGCATGGAACTCCAGGAATGATCTTGTATCAAACTTCTCTAATTGTAGCAAGTAAGATGCCTTTCACGGTCCCAAGAGAAAAGTTGTTCTTGATTTATATTTTTTTCTCTAAAGACTGAAGTTCTTTTCATAATGCTTGTAAAGGAACTCCAATACCTAAATGATTTTAAACTAAAGAGGGTGGGTTTAGACTAGGTTTTGGGAAGAAATTCTTTGCTGTAAGGGTGGTGACACACTGGCACAGATTGTCCAGAGGAGCTGTGTATGCCCAATATCACTGAAAGCTCCTGTGGTAGAGGGGTCAGGATGAGGTGATCTTTAAGGTCACTTCCAAACAATTCTATGGTTCTGTGGTGATTCTATGAAGCTGTTACAGCTTTTTTTATAATCTGGAACAGAGAAATACTCTTAGCCACATATTGAGGAAGTCCCAGTGAACTCTGGCACCCCTCTGTGTGTAAGGTGCTTGTCAAGTGTATCTTTTGCTGACTTTAACCCTTAAAATTATTAATGTCTGGGAATATCTTAGCTCAAGAGAGCAGCCCTAACCACTAGGCTCCCTCCACAGCCCTTCGCAGGTCATGTATTGCTTCCTCCACTGCCCAGCTTCAGCCAGAGGAGCTGTCCCCATCTTTGGGTACTTGGACCTGCAGGTCCTACTCTGGCAACTGGAGACTTAATTATGTGCCACAGTAGCCAAATTCTTCCTGACTTTGGCTCTAAATACCTTCATTACCTTGTATGCAGAGCCACAGAAGGGTTGAGGTTTGAAGGGATGTCTGGGGATCGCCTAGTCCAATCCCCTCCTATGCCAACCAAAACACAGCTGGTGTCTTGTTCATTTGAAGGTATTAATGTTTGAATTTCTTTAATATATTACTTCAAACGTTGTGATTCAAAATGGGATGCTGTGCTTTTTCCTCTGAAATAGTGCCTGCCAACAGGCATCAAAGCACTGAGTGTGACTGCTCTCCCTGTCCTCAGATGCTTCTGGCACAGCTCCACACCATCTGCAATGAAATGCTCGGGAGTTTCTTCTTGTTTAACACAAATTGCTGTTCTTGTACATTAAAAGTAAGTCAGACACCCTCAGAGGGTATTTAGCTCACTAATAGCTGAAAGCAGCGTGGGTCTGGTCACTCTAGACCGATTTTGCATTGCTACAATGCACTGCTCAGCCTCTGCATAATTTCTGGGAGTTATGGTCCCATTTGGAAGTGCTGTTTCATAACCAGTCATTGCAGTGTGATATACTGAGCATAATTCAACAGCATTTCATTGCTGGTTGAACAGAGCAACTTGCTTTTACTGTGAGTGTGCAGAGCAACATGTCACCAGTCCTTTTCCAAATGCTATGCTGTTTCCATCAGCTCAGGTACATAATTCCTGGGATGAGGGTGGCAGTGCCACCATGGCTGCTGCAGGTCAGGTCCTCCTGGCACAGCTCTGGGGCACAATCCAAGTACCCAGCCTGGCTTTAAAGCCTTTGATGTGGCATTTAGTGACAGGCGTGGCAGGTACCTGTTTGGCTGTGAAACAGCCTTAGCAGCACATACTGAAGTCTTAGGTGTAAAAGAGAAGTTTGCTCTATGCTGCTTCTGAATAAAAATGTATGCAATTGATTTATCAGCAGCTATAAGATGGCTTATTTCTTACACAGTCCTTCCAGTGGTGCAACTATTGCAGATCATTCATAGACACATGATTTCAACAATTCTTTCTACAAAAGTGGGAGTTCCCAGAGAAATGACAGCTGCAGAATGGAAATTGGTGGAAACTGATTATCAGTTTAATGTTTCTCCTCTTTGGTTAGTGGTGCAGAAAATATATTCCTAACTGCAGTTTCCAGTACTATATTTAGCAGCCCATTCCACATGTGAGGTACAGTACCTTCCCAGAGCTTGCCTGCATCTCCAGGGATATTCCATGGCTTGTGTCACCCCCAGCATTCACTGGTGGTAAGTGAGGTGGAGTTATGGACCTCTGTTATGGACCCAAGCATTTTGTGCTCACCCTGTGTCAGCATTGCTTGTATTAAGTCAAAAGACAAGGCATTTACATCAAAAAAACTTCTTTACCTCAAGCAGGCTGAGACAAACATTACCCTATTCCCTGACACACAGAACAAGGCACACAGTATCCACGGGTGGGTAAAGGCCAAGCCTGCCAGCCTCTCCATTAGCAGTGGCCAGAGTTAATCACCCAGTGTAATCAGAAGGTTAATCAGGGAAGCTGATGCTGGAAGTTAATGTTCAACTAAGGGCAAAGAATTTTTTGAAGTCATTTCCCCAACAGAAGGGGCAGGAGGTGCAGAGGAGGAGGAGGGAAAGAGAAGGGATCTTCATCATGGTGAGGATCAGGGAACCCTTTCAGACACTTCTTTGACAACAAGCCCGTCTGGGTTTAAAAAAAATAATAATTGTATATTATTTATTTATTTATTTGCATCTGAATTTTTATTTTTCATAGATATATGTTTGGTGCAGTTCCTCCCCTGTACTGCTGAGCTGCTGGTGCTCAGGGTCAGGGCAGCCTTTGCTGGGCACAAATGTGTTTCCCCTTTGTATCCCCTGTTTTCTCACTGCCTTTTGCCAGCAAAGTCACAGCTGTGTGTCTCCATAGCCCACCCTGTTTTTGCATGAAGTAGTTGGAAATTGAAGTAAATCTTCACTATAGGTAGATGAACTGGCCTAAAATATTTTGAGTAGGGAACATTGAGTAGGTCTTGCTCATTAAACATGCAAGGGAAAGGCAGACTACAGAAGAGAGCCTTAAAAGAGCTGGGAAACGACAGGAGTGGTACGAATTAATCAAAATACAGATATGTTCTGAAAACAGGAAGTGGTATTTGCCTGCAGCTGAGAGGAGGAATATTCCCCTTTTTTGGAGTCAGACTGTGTGATTTCTTGTTTTCTAGGCTCATAGAACCACAGACTTCTTTATGTTGGAAAGGACCTTTGAGTCCAACCACTGATGCTTACCAGTCCCTTCCAAACTGATATATGATTCCATGATTCTCCAGCACCAACAATGTGTAAGTATGGGGAAAAGTTGTTGAATCTATCTCTAACTTGAGGAGGGAAGCCCATTAAAGCAAACAGCATTTCCCAGCCTTCCCTAGGTACTTCTCCATAAAAACAGGAACTGCTTTGTCCTGCACCTCTTCAGGTCCATCTAACCCAAGCACATTATCAAACTGCACAGTTTTACTTGCACTTTCTGAGCTGCTGCAGTAATGTCTCTCCTTCCTTCCTTCCTTCCTTGGTAGTTACAGCTTCAAAGCTACAGCAATGTGTGTTCTCTTTCATTGACTTGACATTTATGCCATCTTAATTTAAAATTACTTTGTTTCATGATTCATGTTTCATGCCATGGCTTCTGTCCACTACATGTTTTTAACTACACTCATCACTTGCTTCTTCAGTCAATATTAGTTGTTATTATAGATTATGTTTATGGTGGAACAGTACATGCACATATTGCTAAGCCCTTGCCCCCTGCCCAATAACCGTAAGACTGATTCAGGATGACAGATGGTGTTTTCAGCTTCCAAATTCTTTACTCTAAGCATATCTTATATAGCAGTTGCTTCTGTGTTTCTAATTTTGTCTGATGCAGGCAGCCTCCCAACCCCAAATGACCCAAGTTTTTGCTTCATTCAACAGTTCTTCACCCATAAAGCCTGAGAGCTGGAGCCTTTAAAGCAGGTGCTAGAGCTGGAATCCCACCAGTGTCAGGTATAACACATCAAAAAGAGTTGGAATTCCACACAGCACTCCCCCACATGCTGCATTATGATGAAAAAGTATGCATGCCTATGGTGATGTGAATACACATGTTTTTCTGACCATCATTTTAGATATATAGATAGAATATATTTTATAGATCTTTATTTACCCTCTACTATCATCATGCATATAAATTAAATATACCTACTTAATGACAGATGAAAGTATTGAAATCAACTCTTTCAGGTCAGATGCAACTTGACAAAAGCACTGCGAGCCTTGAAGGAAAAGACAAGGGCTCCTGGCATTTGTGCTTTTTAACAGCAGCATCACAGTGACTCAGATATTAGCTCAGAATTTAATCTAGCACTCCAGGATAGTCATGAGGATCCACAGGAACTTGAAAATCCTCTCCAATTAGCACATGCTTTTTTCTTAATCTACAGCTGAATCTTTGGTTGCTGAAGGCAGAAGCTCTTCACTGTCTCTATTTTGAGTGTGCTAAAAATACATTGAAGTAAATAGAAAAGCTATTTCATGTATTTTAGAGTCAGTTTAGTCTTTTCCTTTGTCTGCCCTTCCTTAACTGAAGAAAGGTCTAAGGGACAGAGGACTATGAAGGGTGAGGAGCACCTCAAAGCCCCCTGAGCATTTAAAGTGTTTTCCTGTACAGGAGTGGGTGCAAAGGATGTGGGGAAGACCAGGCTTTGGAGAGGATAAATGGTTTGCAAATGCAGCTTCTGCTTTATGACTCCTGATTTAGAGGCCCAGTGTGATGTTTTCAGCAGTAAATCACTAGGTATTTTCAGAAAGAGGGAGTTTAGCATATTGCCTCACACCAGTCTTTTTCTTGTCTGTGACCTTTCCAAAGGGACAGTGCAAACAGTAAAAAATAGTAATAGAAAAGGAAGTACTGAGCTAAGATCAGGGTCTTATGACTCTTAGTTTTCATATGCTA